TTAATTCAATACATAGGTATACCGTATACTGCGTACTTAATTACAATATTGACGGAAACTTACTATACATTTTTTCAAATTTGTTTATTTACGAATTACTGATAAATCTTTAAAAAAAAATAGGAAATGTTTTGAGTGCTTAACCCACAAATCCCCCTCCCCCCAATTGCGCCTATGCCACCGTATTAATAACATTCCTGGATATCAACATCATTGGTCTGAACAACAGTCCTCAATGATTGAATTATTATAAATCGTATAAGTATGTTTTATAATATTACAATATTTTGTATAAAATGTCACCTGGAGCAAAAATCGAGTCCCCGGTCTTCCACCCGATGATTTCTCTCATCTTGGTCAACACCACGTTTTCCATGAGAATGAACACTGGAGCGATTTCATACGTGAACATGTTAGTGTTTGCCGTTGCCGTCAGCCATTCGCCGGCCATGGATATGATGTCCAGACCACACGAGAGCTGATTGAAAAATCTCGGATGTCCTGCAATGTAAAAACMACTGATATATAGAATACCTAATATATAACGTATTTTATTATAATCAATTTGTATAATACTGTCGTGTACCTTTCGGATGACACACTCAATAAAAATGACAGTTAATAATTTACACTTTAAGAATATCTATTTATTATTTAAATCAAAAACACAAAAATACGGGTCTCAGAGAAACACCACAGACATAATATTATGTATAGTACCAGAAAACTAGCACTGCCTCGCTACCGTCCGGCTAAAATTCAAATATATTACGTAAATATATTTTCACAATGCGCTGCTCCAGCTCATTTGTTTCGTTGGCCTATTATATAACGAGATCGACATTGCTTTAATTTTTATAATTTAATTTAATTTGCGCACGTGTGTGTGTGTGTGTGTGTGGACTAAACTGGTTGGCACACACAAGATACAACATTTCATAGTGTTTCATTCCATCAGTGTATCAAGAAATAATGTGAGAGATCCATACTCGTATGACAATAAATATTAAATATTATTATTATTTGTATAGGTAGRTGCATATAAATTTTGAGCGCGAAGACTCATCTTTACATGCAGAGAACAGTGATTACTTGCGGTATTATATAGTAACACTCAACACGATATATAGGATTATTATAACATGATTATGACGTTTGTACTAAGTATTACAATAAACAATATTTCGGAGACAATAACTCATAATTGTTTTTTAAAATAGTGCTTGATGGGTATACCCTTAATGGGTAGGTTATTTATAACATAGGAATTGTACACAATGATACAACACTATGACAAGGGAATCATGATAAGCATATTACTATATTATGTAATTACGTAAAATTCTTTTAATTGGTAGTTGGTGCCTACCCATTTCAATTTTTAAAAGTTTATTTCTCTTAACCTTGTTAAACTCTTCATGTTAAACCCTTGAAAAACAACGATGAAACGTTATTACAGTCATGTTATAACTGTTATAAGTATAATTATAGCGGTTCTTGGATGGCGTTTTASAAAATTATGTTTATGATATTTCACGGCACGAAGTATGATAATATGGTAATTGGCGATAATGATAATTATTATATTATGCGTACCTAATGATATTATGTAGATATATTCCCTTACTTGTGTTTTAATTTTACCAAGCGATGCTGGTTCACTTAAATTACAAATTTATGAATCAAATTGATCTCATTATAAGGATAGCAATATTTAAGTATAAGGTATAGGTATAGCCATAATATATTTTAGTAATTCTTTCACTCGCAACGCGCATAATATATATAAAAAAAAAAAACTATATTTCAAGACTTTGGAGTGTGAATAAATTTTTCTGTTTATTTGCTATGGTCACGATTCACAGTCTAACAAATTCGTTCCTATTATATCCTATATTAATTACAATGCGGGAAGGCATTCACGAGTCTCAACTGAAATACCAACTGAAACGGTGAAAATTCGAAAATTCGCCGTGTGTATACATGCATTCTAATCATCCTCTCCGAAAGAAAGTATTCACAAATGAAGTTCGAAGATTGCTTCGTACAGGACGTTTCGCCAAACTAATTAAACACGMGCGCATTCCTTTAAATTATTTTTTTTCCTCCAGCAATGGATTTCAATTTCGATCGTCCCCTTTACACCGCCGATGACGTGTATATAATATATATATATATATATATACATACATATTCGCAGGGTGATCGAGATATATTGTATACGAAAGTCCCCTCGACGAACCAAAAACATGCATTATACACGACGACAATATGCGATTTTTTTGGGGGCCAGTAAAAAAATAACAAAAAAAAAGCCGTTCATATAATACTCGCGTACACAATAATGATCATATACTGATGTGCGATACGATATCATCGGGCGAATAATATATAATAACACTGCGCCTTCGAAGGTTGCGCCGATGTGTTATTTTTTTTTTAATATAATATTATTGTTGTTATATAAAGATAGTTATTATCGCGATGAAGAGATGACGGACCGCGGCGGTATCGGAAGGAAATGTACGTTCCCGGCGGGCCGGAACCAGTCGACGACACGCGTCGATAACAACCACCGTTTATGATAATAATAATATTGGGGCGAACTGCGATTGCGATAAGACGTCGTGGCCGAAAGCGATCGATCTATACATTCGCGTGGTTATCGTTGTATAGATCGTCGGATGTTTTGTACCATCCCTTCCGGCAGAGCCCACCACGGTGCAAGATGTGCTGGTTTGGATTGGTCTCCTAATCCTATACGTGGGTGACATCGGAGGGGGGCGCGTCCGGGAGTGTGTATGTTTGGTGTAAATAAATAACGTAAAAAAAATAAAAATAATAAAAATATTGTTTCATTGAATCTCTTCGGCCCACGTGACGGCTGCTGTATACGTGACATATATTATATTATATACATAGCCGCAGACCCTTCTCGACCACTCCTCACACCACCACTCCTATCAACACCCCCTCTCCCCAYCCACAGAGTTTTTCCGATAAGAGCGAACGGTTTGAATAGCAGCTTGTTAGACGTCATTAACACTGAACGCCAGCTCTCATCAATCATGCACCGGAGCGCGTGCCGAAACTTTCGCCGCGCCTGTTTAGTATATATATATATAGATGAAAAACAATAATATATATGCCAAGCCCTCTAACCCCACGCCTCCACCCACCCACGGGACCACTTAATAGCCCATCCTCACTCACGCACACTTTCTCTTTCGTATACGTGCGCGTTTTTACCAGAAAAGTATATAATATTATGTGCACACGYCATCCCTCCGGACGACCCGCCCCCGTTCAGATTCTTTTGCAAAACATTTTATACACTTCCGATGTGACCGGAAAATAAATCGGATATACACCGTCGCCGCTGCAGGTAGTGTATACAATATGTGTTTATGTTTTTTTTTTTTTTTTTACGCAACCCGCAAACAGTCGTTCATTTATTTCGTAGTCTCCTCTCTGCAGGCGATAAGTCAACGTCAGCCCCGCGAATAGTCATCGCTCTTGAATACCAACACTACCTATATATTATATGTAATATATAAACTTGACTATTTTATTGGTGATTTTTCTTTTATTCGAACGTAAATTCACGATTTATTTCTCCACGTGTAGCAAGCGTTATTGTAATTTCATGATTTCGAATTTCTTAGCACTTATAAAAACATAATGTACAGTTTTATGCCCTGAAATCTCTAGAAGTGAAATCCAGAGTAAAAAACGATCTAAGAAGTTCCWAAATGTTTTTACAAAAATGTATAAAAAATAATTGATATACAGGGTGTCCCACAGCGATCTGACATTCTGACAATGAATAATAATGAAATAACTTTTGTTCTAATCAATATTTTTAAAAAATGTCTTTTAAATATAATTCATAGACACTTGCGCTACATTTTTAGAATACATTTTTTATTTTTTATTTTTTAA